ATAATGTTGTGAAGGACTGGAATATGCTTCCTGGCAATATAAAGCAAATTTCAAAGAAAAGCATTTTCAAAACTCATGTGAATAAGTATTTTATTGAAACTGCAAAGGGCAATCATAAAAATGATTTTTATACTGCTAGAACCAATGTAATTTTTATTGGATTGTCCATCATTGTTTTAACTATCTGTGATATCTTAGATATGTATGTTCCAATATTAATTATTAGATTTGTCATTACCGGAGCTGACGTGCTCTTATATGAACCCCATTGTAAATAAGATTTAATTTTAATTTTTATGGGTTATCCAAGGTAAAGAGGTCAGCTGTTCGTTTAACTTACTGTGACCCCTAGTACTCCTGTGATATAATCTAGTCTATAAAATTGTGTAGGTTCTATGTTTGTTTGTACCACTTGTGTGATCGTAATGCCTTTTATCTGAAGAAACATCATTATTGTTATTTTTATTATTATTTCTCTGAATTTGTGTAATGTTTCTGTTCCCTTTTACATGATATGTACCAGTTATTTTCAACGTTGTGCTAAATAATTATGTTGATAATGTGTTGTTTAAGTAGATACATTAATAGAACACTTTTACATATATTCTATTATAATCAAGTGAAGTGTTAACAGTTATCATACGCAAATTATTAACTAGCATCTATCGTTTATAAGTGTTAAAAAGTACAACTTTTTCCCTAGGTAAATAAATTTATTTTAGCAAATAATAAATTTGTATATTTTTACGCTATTTCATAGCCAGTTGAAATGGCATTATAAACAGACGTTTATCAAAAACGTAAACAATGATTTGTTAAAGTGTAACCAGTGTACAAACCATTGGTAAAAGGGAAGCAACTTTAATATTATTTTCAGACAAAATTATAAAGGTAACAAAAAGACACAGCAATAGGATCTATGTGTACATTGTATTGCTCATCTACTTATTTGTGTATGTAAATTATCCAGTGTTTTTACTGTCACGTTTGGGATGACACATCAAACAGACCTTTTCACTTATTCACGTGTACTTTGACATAGGTTCCGGACTTGCATGTATTATCGACTTCCCAATACAGTTGTAAGCCTATATCATACGAAGTAGAGGATAGGTTCAAAGTCAAGTTCAGCAATGACCTTAAGCTATACAGCTCATCACTTGTGCAAATATACAGTGCAACATGAAGTAAGCAATTAAACAGCAACACACAACTACAACACACTACGTATTGTAGTTCCTGATTGTCTGGACATCTGACAATGGAGTAGCACCACATAGTGGTTATATGGTTCATAGGGTTTAATATTATGTACAGAATTGTATATAGTTTATAAAGTTTGATATGGTTTATAGGGTTTTATATGGTTTATAGGATTATATACATTATACATTAATGTAACTGTCTGAGTACTGATCCCGTGTTAATGAAGTACATTGATAAATAGAGTGATCGTGGTTACACACTTAAGGAATGGTGTGTTAGACATTAACGTAACTGTGTAAATGAAGTACATTGATAAATAGAGTGATCGTGGTTACACTTAAGGAATGGTGAGTTAGACATTAATGTAACTGTCTGCTTCCTTACCCCGTATTTCTAGTGATAATTATGAAACAATAAGCAAACTTGGACGTATCTCAGTGAACTAGTAAAATAATGGACCTTTTACGGTAAAATAATACACTAATGAGCGTATTTCAGGCGTTTTTCTGATTATTAGTAAAACACTGACAGTATTTAATTTAACTATTTATGATAGTTGACTACTTCATCACTGGGTACATTTCAGTATAAAAGTACCACACAGCAGTAGCCAGTCATATAGTGCGTGTAGTCTATAGGCTGTCCTCATAGATATGTCTTCGTGTTGTTTACTTTCAACCAATTAGAATTCGCTTTCTTTCACTTCATCAAGGTTGCACCTGGATTCACGTTCAGGAACGGCTGGTTGGCGTTCATTCACTGGACAGGGTTTCGTAATCAATCATTATATTACGTTAATGCAATAAAACACTTTTCTCACTAAACATTCTGGTTAGATTACTAATACTGGAGCCTAGATTTAAGTTTAAGTTCCCATTCCTCCGACACATATACGTTAATATAAATTTGAATTATTTATTAATTTCTATTTTATCTGATATGAGTTTCTTAAGTATTCACAATAATGGTATTCCCATTCAAACAATGGATACGTACAAAATTGTAAGATAACAGGGGGCTTTGATTTGATGGCTGTTTGTGAAGACCACTTCAATCATCCTCGAAATAATAACTGTCTTTGTTCCTATTTAACCGATACATCGTAATTAAGACGATTTATCTTACATATATGAAACGGATTCGATTAGTCAATCTTTTTAATTTAAGGAACGAACAGGATGAACTTATATAAAAGTAGTATTCCCTGAAGGTTGCTGTCTACTTCGCAAAAGCCCACGTTCAGGTAAGTGTTAAGTCTGACTAATGATACACGTCTCTTAAAACATGTTATAACAATTGTCTCCACTGACATTTTTATATACAGATAAAAATGTGTTAACCTGCAAACAAATCATAATATCTAATGATATGATGTATAATTATTCAGGCTTCCGATTTTCCAAATATCTTCCCTAAGAATTGTCCTTAATTTGAATTCCCACGTATAGAAAGCATTACTTTAGTCAACGGAAAATATTTGCGTTATGTATGTATTTTATTAATATTATTTCCCATGCAGGACTTAGGATGGAATAAAGATAGGCCTCGATATAAACCTCTTGTAAAAAAAAAACAGATAAATAAAAATAAACGAAGAGATAGGAAGTAACGAAGTGTCAACCAAACAGGAATCAGGATCAGGATTACAAATAAGACTTACTGTCGATTATCTTACACATCTGACAAATAAACATCTGGTCATTCTTTAAAATACGCAGACATGTGTTCACTCAATAGATCATTCGCCAAACATATTAAACAGTCATAAACAATTCTACGTACATATTAAACACAATTCTTTCTTCTTTTTAACATTAGAGGTTAGACTGGGTATTTTTTTATCAATATTCAAGTATTAGGTGAACCAATCATTTCACTGATACCACAACTAGTATTGTAACGGTTTTTTATTAATGCTGGAATTGAGAAGTCACCGGTTTACTGCTGTTAATATTTTATCCCGATATAAAAGCAAGTCTTCGTGAAGTATAAATTGGAAAGTCTACTTGATTAGATAGCTAATAATATCATATTCATAAACTGTTCGTGCTTCTGTACAGTATATATAGTTTAGGTGTTTTATTGGGGAACAGTACAGATCCAAATCACAGACGTCGTATTGTGTGATCGGCTTTGACTTAAACCTCTTGCATGGAATGCTTACAATGTATTACCACAGAATCGCTAAATCACTTTGAAGTGTAAGGTCCAACTCTGAAGTTTGGAATTAAGAAGCACACATTAACGAAATTGTATTCTTGTTTTGCTAAAGAGTAAATAGCATCAATGGGCTTCTCGCCTATTTTAGAGGACCTTTAACATAACTAAATTAGCTGTCTGCTGACAAAAATAAAGGTGATTTTTTATGGAAACAACATTGGTCATGTATGAAAATATTTGAATTGCAGTTACCGTATTGTTTGTATCAATAATCAAAAACCTATATTGATATTGAACTTAACAAAAAGCATATTGTATCTTTTAAATGGCAACGATAAGCCAACAGTTTCATCTTTGGAATGCTTTGAGACGATAACGATATTTTAGTATCTTCCCCAACGCAAGTGTATCGATGTAAAGGATTTGGGCCGTCTGGAGACTATCACCGATCAGTCTGATTTTATGTATTTACATACCTTTGGGTTATGCCATCATGATATGACATGGGGGACCAAAATCGCAAATGGTCTCTTTCTAACAAAACTGCATTCTATTTTATTTTAACTTTCTTTATAATTTTGATGTATTGTGCAACACTAAAGCTGCAAATAAGAAAAATAGCCAAAAAAGCACCATATATAGTTGATAAGTAGGTCACTGTGATCGTGTTATATATCGGCTTAATTATGTCAACGATACCCTCTATTTTTTGCCTAAATACATATTAGAACCCTTCATATATCGTACCAAAATTGTATTTATATGTATCTGAACCAAATCTGAAGAAAATGGGGCCGAAAAGTGCAGGGGGGGGGGAGTTAATTTCTATGTCCCCCTTTTTATTACTTTTATTCATAGAACCTATTTTTAGCACAAAAGTCACACAACAACTTAATTTTTATCTTTTCTTTAGACTTCAGACATGCATCCGACTGTCAGATACATCAAAACGCAATTATTCATATGCATTATGTTTATTATTTGTGATGTTGGGCCCCCTCTTTACCCACCTTATACTTCGGTTTGGACTCCATGCTGATCTTAGGTTCATGTCATATCATGTACAAAATAATAAAACGTATCGGTGAAGTCCCAAATTGGCACCCCCTTTTAGAAGGGTGAAAAATAACTTTCTCTTGTTATATTCTCTACTTCGTGAAACATAAACATATTTCGAAAAGTGAAATATTTATATATATCTTATACTTAAATCAATATCATCAATTCACAGATATTACCAACAGTTTTCATAGGATGTAAAGCACTTAATAGTATATACTGATTCTGCCATTGAATTCTACTTGTCGACAACTTAAACCGGCGAAATTATTTTCCTTATTTTTAGTTCACAACATGAAGACTACCAGCGTAATAGCCATAGCAATTTTATCCGCCATGTTGCTGGTAGCTATGGCTCCAACTGAAACGGAAGCCATTTATTATAGGCCGCGAGGTAGTGTTGTCTGCAGAATGAGGTGTAAGCGAATCTTAAGGTACTGCAGAAATAGCAGGAGTTGTGGGCAGCGGTACCGGGCTTGCGTTTATAGATGTGGACGTGGACGTGGACGAAGGATCGGATAGTGTTGGATATCCTGCTAGTGAATGACAAGCAAATAAAATCTATAAAACAATACAATATGCATAATCTATTTTATTTGCTGGTATTTGATATGGACAAAAGCTAGTTATCTATGAAATTAAAGATGCGTAAGTCAATTTTCTTAACATATCTTATACTCTGTATTTTTTTATTTTTTTTAAACAAAAGTATGTTAAACAAATGATTTATATATACTTTCACATCTCCCAGATTATTTATATTTGAAATTTACCAGTACTCCCCTAAATTCTTAAATACATTAATTAAGAGGTTTTACGCAACTCTCTTTCAACAGTACATGTAGTTTAGACAATTTAGATGTCCATCTATTTGATCCCAAGCATTACCGATGAGTCGTAAAAGGACGAAACAGATGTATAATGAGTAATTCATTGTTGACATACTGCATCTATTACGAAAGTGTTCAAAGCTCAATCACATGTGTGTATTTCGTCCATCTGTCAATGAAGTCATTTAACTGTGATGTCATCAAAATTCAACTCTATAGAAACATTAAAGACGT